GGTGAATCCTCTCACTGCCCCTGCACCTCTGGCCTGTACCCCAGTTCTGTATGCACAAAATAAAAAATAAATCTTTTTTTAAAAAGTACTCAGTGAATCTTCATTGAGCAAATATATGAGTAAGTATGCCTATTTTTAATTTTGACAGGAATTGGCAAAATGCCCTCTAGAAAGGTTCATGAATTTATACCGGCACCCACCCCAAAAAATGTATATACCTGACAAACATATAGGATAATACTCAATATTTTATACACCCCCATACTAGCTTTATTTATCCTTTTAAATTTTGTCAATCTGAGTGATGAAAAATAAGTTCTCCATGAACATTTTTTTTAAAGATTTATTGATTTATGCACACAGAACTGGGTACAAGCAAGAACTGGGTACAGGCCTGAGGTTAGGGAGGTAAGAGGATCCACCAGAGATAGAGTGGGGAGCAGAACAGGGAGATCCACTGAAATACACTGCTGAGGGGAGCAGTGGGCAGGTCAGGAGAGAGCTGCTCAGCTATGAAATCACTTCTCTCCCCCCTCACCTCCCCCCCAAGAGCTTCACAACGCTGCACTTTAACCCTTTGTGCCACCAGAGGGCTCTCTCCGTGATCATTAGTAGAGTAACTTTTCATATATTTAATCAATATTTGTACATTATCTTTATGAAATATCTTTTCATACCCACTTGTCTTTTCTTTACCCATTTTCCTATTGGGTTATTTGTCTTTATCTTATAAATTTGTAGGAAGTCTTCATAAATATGGAAGTTATTCTCCTCGATTGCTGTATGTGTTGCAAGGTTGCCAAGGGTTCCTTCCAAGTTGTCTATTTTATTTGTCATCCTTTACTCTTTTAGTGTCTTTGAAATAAAGAATTGTGGTTAAGTACACGGGCTCTGGATCTGGACTGCTGTGTTCAAAAGCCAGCTTTGCCTCTTGCTAGTTGTCTGCACCAGCAGATTTCTTAACTGTGCCTCCATTTCCTCATCTGTAAAGTAGGGTTAATTCTACACTCTTAACTCAAAGCATTGTGGGGATTAGATGAACTGATATTTGTAAAGTTCTTTGGAATGATGTTTGGCACAAAACAAACACTATAAATATTAACTTGTTATTTATAGCCTTGGGATTTGATATTTTGAGAAGCTTTCACTAACATCTAAAATTATAAAAATATTCTCGTATATTTTCTCCTAATATTTTCATAATTTTATTATTTTTACATTTTTTAACCCATCTATGGTTTAAGGTGTGAATAGCTGATTGTCTCAACCCTAGTTAGTGGATATGCCAGTCTTTCTCCACTTACTGAAAGGCTACCTGTGGGTCTATATCTAGCTTCTAGTCTGTCTCATTGCTCTTTTTAATGTTATTGCACCAATAATACAATTTGATTATTGTAATATAAAATATCTTTGTTAAATAAGATAACTATAAATTATCCTATCAATAAGGTGCCGTTTTACTCTTATTTTTCAGAATTTTCTTGGCTTTACTTGAAAGTTGATTCTTGTCATTATGTTTAGCATCAAGTCCCCCACCCCATTGTTATTTTGATATCATTAAATTTATAGATAGTGAAATAACATCTTTATAGTGCTAATTTCCCCCCAACACTATACTGACTTAAATTTGTGTCTCCTTCACTCTTTCTGGTTTTCTTCACTATCTTCCTAAAGTCGTCATTATAGCAGTATCTTTTAATGCAGTAGCAATAATGCGCACTAATAATACGTGTAGTAGTAATACGCACTGCACCTACATCACTACTTTTTAGTTCCAAGAGCACTTTAGACATGTAACAATACAGATCACATTGCCTTCTGATTATGATCCTCTGGTCATGATTCATGTGTCTAAAAGAAATATAAGATCTAAAGCTTGAAAGGGGTAAAGAGTAGTATAGAACGTGGTGATAGGGAGGTGGCTGCTGGGGAAGATCTGTGTCTGAATCTTAAAGATGATCTCAAAAACCATCTCATACATAATAATTTTGTTGCATTAAGAATGGAGGGGATGAGCCCTCCCTGGTGACACAATGGTTTAAAGCACAGCACTGTGGAGCTGCGCAGACACTGCAGCATGAGTTTGATCCCTGGCCAGGGAGGTGACCCACATGGTGTGGCAGACCTCTCCTAACACCGCCCCTCCAACCTCAGCAGTGTATTTCAGTAGATCTGCCTGTTAGGCTTTCTGCTCTGTCTCTGGTAAGTCTTCTCGCACTCCTCACCTCTGGCCTGTACCCCAGTTCTGTATGCATAAATAAATAAATCCTTAAAAAAAAAAGTGGAGGGGAAAGTGTGACACCAGTTCATTTGAAGTAGCCAGGGGAAGTGTTGGAAAAGGAAAGGAAAGAGGAATAGTTCACCTCCATAGATCCAGAAATGTCAATCATCCACTATCATCTCAAATCCAGTCAGTTTTGCCATAGAAATGACTCCTTTTTACAGCTCCTTTTCTCCCTACTACTTTATCTTTCATTATTTCTCCTTAA